CTGCTCCCTGCTCTGTCCCGCTCCCCCAACACCTTACCTCCATGACAGTAGGGCCTCTGTGTAATAACAGAAATAAAACTAAAAGAAGTAAATGTCTCAGGAGTGTCTAGGGAAAACCCAAAGACAGCGGAGGAGATGAAAACAAGGAAACACAGGCGGCTTTAGCCTCTCACACCAATAGCTGTAGCAAACTACACACAGCCCAGCCCCAATAGATAAACAGAAAACCTCACAGAAGAAACTATTTATTTTGGTTCTCTTACCCAGTGCATTCCATGGTGCATCCTCACCTAGAATTTACTGGAAGCAAGTCCATCTCAGAAGGGACAAAACTGAAGAGGGATGGCTTTCCAGAGTCTGAGGGACAGAGAAAGCACCAGCCTGAGTGAGAGCACGGTGAGGGGTGGGGTAGGGGTTGGGCTCCCTTCTTCCCCAAATAAGGAAACTTCCTGAGGCCAGCACAGTGGGAGGGAGGGCCATGGGGTGGAAGCAGCCAGACTTCTTCCTGAGAACTGATGGGATGCCTCCAAGGGACCATTCAGGTGCACAAACTGAGCCCTGAGGGTGGGAGTCAGTCGGTCTGCCTCAGAGCCCAGGACTGAGGTGGGCGCACAGCTGGCAGGTCTTACTTTGCCAGATCCATTTCACTTCCCCAAGCCCTGTGTAAAACATGAAGCATGGACGGCCTGGTGAGCACAGCTCTGCCCTCAAGACCGGTTTCAACTCCTCTCTTCCCGGAAAACAGCATCTCTGAGCCCGTCCTGGGTGACCTCACAGAGATCACCCTAGTGGCCCAGCCTAGTGACCTAGAGCATGTAACTTCCTGCAGCCAACCCAAGACGTCCACTGATGCATCATATACTGGCAAAGATGTGAGTTTTTGTGCATTGGTCTAACAGCAGAGACTCTGTCATAGGCCCAAGAGGTGGTTTATGGGACATGCAGGGGTCAGGAGTGTAGGCAGTGCAAAAGTGTATGTGGTGGCAGGGGTGCAGGGGCTGTGGAGGGCACAGGCAGTTCAGGGGATGCGGGGGTGCAGGGGTGCAGAAGTGCAGGGAGTGCAGACGTGCAGAGAGTGGCATGGGTGCAGAGGTGCAGGGAGTGTAGGGGTGCAGGGAGGTGCTCAGGCACTTGGGTAGGCTCAGAAGGCAAGTGCACATCTTTGCAGTCAGCCTGACCCCGGGAGGCTAGTGTAATGGTTTGGGGCTGCGGAGGTAGCAGCAGCGGCAGCGGTGGCGGGTGGAAGGCTGCCCGGGCAATCCGGTCGATTTCTTCTCTTCCCTACAGCCTGGCCTGGGGGGGTCTTGGCCGCCGGAGATTTGCCAGATGTTGGACTCCAGGTAAACTTGCTCCTGGGAGGTGGGGCGGTTAGGTCAGGGGGCTGTGGCAGCGGTGATGGGGCGGAGCGTGGCTGCCTCTGGCGAACTGGTGGAATAGCTGCCTTCTCCCGGCTGCCGGGCCTGGGAGAGGCCTCTGCTGCC